TCAGCCCTCAGAGCAGACCTTGGGGTGATGATGGCTCCTGGGAAGGTCAGGGTTTCTGCCACAACACATCTGATCTCTTGGCTACCAGAGATCTAATGGCACCAAAAGCCCTCCCTAAAACACAGGAAGCACAGAGGCAGATTGGAGTAATGCTCCCCAAACCAGTTACAGGACCCAGGGCAAGGTCCCTTCCAGGTCTCTCCAGCGAGGGTGGATAATCATATCTAAGGTCTTTCAAGTACTGGGATCACTGGTTCCTAATTCTAAAAGAAGATAGGGTTGAGCCCATGGTTTCTGTAACTAGGGGTTTAATACAGTCTCTTTTCCTGAGAAGTCTCTCCTCCGCGGCCCAGGAGGATTGCAGTGGCTTCAAAGCCTGCTGAGCCTCTCATCAGCTAACTTAATACAACTGGGTCAGCCGCTCTCTCTCCGACCTCCAGCCTCGGGCAGCAGTGGAGAGCCTGGGGTGGGGAGCTCGCACAGAGAGACTCAGGAAGCAGCCAGAGCGCAGCCACGGATTCCAGTGAATATTTTGCATAATGCCTTCAGCCTATTGGGCCCTCTTGAGTGATGGGCCCTCCATGGTTAAAAATCCAAACCCAGCAGGAATCAGCCACATGCTCGTGAGAAGATAAACGCCCAGCATTAAGGGATTTGTCCCAAAGCAGGGCTGTCTTAAGACCCTCTGGTCATCCTGGCTTTTAGAAGACCAGAAAAGCACACTTGAGCACTAGATTAGCACACTGAGCATTAGAGCCTCAGGCTTTGAGCCCTGAATTCAGACTGTTCAGATGCCTGGGCCAGGCAGGACTCCTGCATACGCTCTCCAACAGGTGGTTGGGACACTGTAGCGGTGTCCAGAGGCCAGAGAGGGTTCTGGGCTCCCCAGAAGTCACTGTAACCACATTACAGCTGGTTAAAGTTGGCCTGTCTTCCCCACCCCCATTCCAGTCTAGGGCACTCAGCGTTTGCCCGAGTCACATGTGGCACTCACTTCCAACACGAGAGGGCGCCATTGGCCAGAACACGCTTTAAAATTCTAACGCAGGAGTTCCTCACGCTTTTACCTGTTTCTGCACTTGGCTGGTGCTTTTGTTTATTCCTGTAAGTAGGGCACAGTATGTTTTTAATTGTGCACATGGCCAGCCTTGGATTACAAGCTGCTCACAGATAACTGCCCTCCTTGCTTCGTCTCCTGAAAGCCCTGCCTCTTGAAAAGAGGAACAGAACAGGTGTGGGGACGGAGGCCCGGCAGGAAGGCCTGGACAGGGGCCGTGACCTCCCAGTCCCTCCGGATTTCCTCCCAATTGCCTCTCATACAAAAGCGCTACCTGACCCTGGCCAGCGTGGCTCACTGGTTAGAGCATCAGCCCCTCAGACCGAAGGGTCACAGGTTCAATTCCCAGTCAAGGGCACGTTCCTGGGTTGCAGGTTCAACCTCCAGTGGGGTGCATGAGGGAGGCAACCAATTGATGCATCTCTCTCACATCGATGTTTCTCCCTCCCTCCCTGCCTCCCTCCCTTCCACTGTGGGAAAAATATCCTCAGGTAAGGATTAACAAAACAAACAAACAAACAAAAAACACTAGCTGGCCTGTCACCAATGCCAGCACCTCCCTTCTCCCACCAACCACCTGACTGCTCACCCCCACTCACTCTCCACCCTCCAGCATGATGCTGATGGCCCCCAAACCTCTGCATTGCCCTCCCTGCTGCATCCTCGGGGTCCCCACTTTTCTCCACCTGAACATCTCCTTGTGATGTTGGGAGGGGTGTCTTGTCACTGCCCCCCCCTTTCCTGACCCTGCCCAAGTTCCACGGGTCTAGCAGCCACCCACCCTCCCCTTGGGCTCTTCCTCTGGGCAGAAGCTCCAGCACTCAGACAGTGTGCTTGGGTGGGGTCTTTGGACCAGCAGCATCGGCATCATGGGAGCTTGTTGGAAATGCACGAGGGGGGGCCCCACTTTGGCCTCCTGTGCCTGAATGGACATTTTCACAAACTCCGTGGGAGTCGTGTGCACACAGTGTGCTTGGAGAAGCAGGCCCTCAGCTCCCCTGCCACAGCCACTCTCTCTGGATGCCTTTCCTCCGCCGCCATCCTGGTTTCTCTGTGTGTTTCAGCCCATCCTTGCTCTGAGATAAATTGGTTCTAAGCCAGAGGAGGGGGAGGGAGCAAGTCCCACAGCCTCCCACTGGGTCTGGAGACCCAGAGGCAGCTCAGCCAGGAACTAGACAAATGTGATGCCGGGTGACGGCAGGCAGACCTCACTCCCTGGCAGGGAACCGCCCTGCCCTTGTTTCTGGACTGTCATGCTCACTGCTCCCACCCAGCGATGGGAACCAGTGTGCCCCGGGCCCCCGAGGGCCACCCAGGCAGAGTTAGCAGGCACAGGGGCACCCAAGGCTGTGAGCCCTGAAGTGTTAGAGAAGGCTCCAGTGAATGGGTGAATCCCAGAAACCATTTATTCCAGCTCTGTGCCTCTTTTGATTATTTAGGTCAAAAGCAAGCACATCGGCCCCACTCAGCTGCTGGGCCGCTGGCCAGGGCGGCCCTCTGATCCAAGTGTTTCGAGGTTGGAGGCCAACATCTGTGTTTCAGGCCATGTGTGCCCAGGGTTCTGGGACACTTCATGTGGCTGTCGGCTTCTGAACTATTTGCTCCCTGTTTACTCTCCTGCCACCACCTTCAGTGCAGTCAGCCCAAGGCCTGGCACACAAGGGTCCTTATTGGAGCAGCTTCTGGCAAGCATGAGCCACCCTGTCCCCTGGGCATATGAGGTCACATATTTGGGAGTGGAGAGGGGTGTATCAGGGCTCCATGAGCTCCAGGTCCTTCACTCATGTGGGCAGATCAGACCCTCCTTGGCCTGGTGGTAGGTGGAACGATGGGACCCCATGGGCTGCTGAGCTTCGGCTCCTGGGGGGGGGGCAAGTCACACTGCCTTGCTGTGGGGCTTTTGCTGTTGTCATGTGGGTGCATGGGAGGCTTGAAGGGTCCCCACGTCCTTACGTAAGATGCCTTATGTTTGTTAAATCTATGTGCTTCTGAGTCACTATTCCCAAAATATGGTAAGAGGCGAGATGAGGGGGGCATGGAAGAGAGTTTTCCTGGCCCCGAGCTGGGTTCTGGTGTGTGGGCATCTTTGCTGTCTACTTCTGGGGTCAGGTCCCCTCAGCATGTCCCCTGACACCTGGGAGTGCTGCAGGGACCCCTGATGAGAAGGCCCCTGCCTGGCCCAGCATTAGGATGCAGCCCAGGCATGGGAGGGGCGGGAGGAGGCTCTTTTATTCCTCAGGGTGGGCTTAGCTTGGGAGGCAGCATGCAGACAGCTGAGAACGCTGAGACCGAGCCAGACCATGGGGTTCACTCCATCTGTGCTCACTAGCTGTGTGATTTTAGGCAAATGACTTAATCCCTCTGTTTCTGTGCCTCATCTCTCAGCTACTTCATAGAGTTGTTATGAGAATTAGAGGGAAAAGTATCAGTCAAGCTTTTAGTGCACTGGCTGTCCAGTTGCAACCCCGAAGATTAAAAAAAAATCCCTTCCTCCCAGAAGGAATGCCCGGGTGTGGGTACTAGGGTTTCTGTTCCATCTCAACTTCCTACCTTACCTGTCCAGCCTGAATCAGGCAGGTTGGTTGGCCATCTGCGTTGTGCCCTTGCTGTTGGGGTGCAGTGGGGAGCAAGACTGCTGTGAATCTAGGTTCCTGGCACTGAAACTTGAGTGATACACAAAACAAAACAAAACCTTACTCCATAGAACTAAGCAGCTCAGGAGCTGGTTCTGTCCAGAGCGCCCAGTACAGCTGTGAAACAGAATCACCGCCTTCCCGCCCTGTGTGCACACGTGGGCTCTCATAGCCATGGCCGGCCGGCTGTTCTGAATGAACCTTGCCGTTGGTTTGTGCCCCCACCCAGAAGGCCTTTGCTGTTGTGAACCTGATTCCTATACACGGAGCCCTTCGTCATCAAGTGTGGCTAAGAGCACAGAATCAACAGCCACACCCACACAGGTGTGCATTCTGTGTGTCACTGTCGCTGTCATTAAACCTGAGGCTTGGGAAGGATTTGGGATCTGACAGCTCTGGCGTCATTATATAATGTTTACAGCAGGCTTTTATACATTGCACAATTTATATTTGTTCCGTCTCATTCTGACTCATTTAAACCCAGGAGTGGCTCCCCTAGGTTCAGAGACTCGGAAATTAGTGATTCCAGTCGGTGCCTCAGGCTGCCCTTCTCTCACGCCTGCGTGGATTGGCTGGCAGTGGCAGCTGCTGGCATTACACAATTGGCTCGGATGTGAAATGAGCCACCGGAGGAGGACCTCCTTGTTTCTACACTGTGACTCAGGCTCCTGCGCGAGGCTAAGTCAGGACGGAGGTTATCATTACACGGCAGCTCCGTGTTATCTCTGCCACAGATGTTGCTGTTGCAAGGAGCCGTATCTCCTCTCCAGCGTCCACCAGATGCTTGTGAGCCTTCGGATGCCTCGGGGATTTTCTCCCAAATGTGTAGTGATGCCATCAAGAGCAATTTTCTAATGTGGATGAACACGAGGACCTCAGATGCTAGAACTAACATTACGTGTGGGTCTTAAAATGTGTCTTGGAGGATTTAGCCAGCTGGTCAACCCAGAAAAGAAAATGACTCGGCTCTTACTGTGGAATGAAAATTGACTGAGCTCCAGGAAAGATGGGTCCTGCCTGGATCTTTGCCATGTGAGATGGTGGTTGTTAGGTTGGGAAACAAACAAAACACAGAAAATATTGGTCCACCTTTAGATAAGAGCGAGTTCTGGAGATTGCCCGGCCGAGGTTCATGGAAATGCTGCAGTCTGCTCAGACGCCTACTTGGCACATGTTTTACCTTGCAGTGCGGAAGTGGCACAAGGATTATAGGAGGAATCATTTTATCATGAGGTTTTCTTAGAGATTGCACGAAAGCCTGTCTCCGTGCTGCACACATTAATTGCAGATCTCTCTCCCCCTCGTTTCAGCTTACAAGATGCTGGCATCGGATTTATCCTGGTCATAGACCGAAGGCAGGACAAATGGACCTCGGTGAAGGCGTCAGTCCTGCGAATAGCAGTAAGTGTCAGTTTCCCAGCTTCGTGATGTTCCCACCTACTCTTCTCCTGGGCTGGGTGACAGCGGCATTTCTCTTCTAGCGACCGGTCTGCCTGGGTGGTAGTTTGCGTCCTGGCTGTCACTGTTTGGTGCAGAGCTGTGGTGTACATCCAGCTCAGAGCAGCCACCCAGGGTAGCCTGAGGCCGGGCCAAGGAACACTTGGGAGCCCCACCTCCTTGGCTTCCTCCAGTTGCTAGGGCATGTATGTATACATCTGTGTGTGTCCATGTGTGTGCGTGTGTGTGTGTTCTCAAATGGGTTAACTCTTAGGGGACACGTTTTATTTTGAAAACAGTTCCACCAGCTGGCTCATTTCTGACCATTGAGTATGTGAGATGCTCAGGATTTTACTGTNGTGTGTGTGTGCGTGTGTGTGTGTGTGTGTTCTCAAATGGGTTAACTCTTAGGGGACACGTTTTATTTTGAAAACAGTTCCACCAGCTGGCTCATTTCTGACCATTGAGTATGTGAGATGCTCAGGATTTTACTGTGTATTTGTTCTTAAATAGAGCACAAGGTCCTGATAACAGGGTATTGAGTGTGTTACAGAGAATCTTCAGGCTAGAAGTTTGAAACTATATTGAATAGCTTTTTCTAAGCGACACTCTCCTTTCTAATGGACTGTTTATTCCATAGTTTTACTCAATCAGATGTCTTAATCTTTCCTGGTAACCCCTTCCTGCATTTAGTAACCCGCGTTGCCAAGGAATTCATCTTAGCATCCATGGAGCTGTTTTGCAGACTGCGTGCTGCCCTCTAGGGCAGGGGAGCAGCTGTCTGTGGTGGTTGCTGTCGCTGTTTTTAGCCTGCAGTGATAACTGAGGAGGGAAGAGCTAAGTCAGCAGAAAGCCCCTGAATCTTATTTTCACCAGTAGCTTCCGCCCCCACTCACGATCTCCTCTGTGAAACATTTCTCACCAAGCTGAGTTCCACCCACGCTCGCCTCCTGGCAGCCAAAGGCCCAAAAAGTGATTTGTTGGCAAGCAGGGTGACCCAGGGCAACTGTGGCCAGGTCCTCTGCTCCCAAGTGTTTCTTAAAAACCTAACCGCTGATGGAGTGAAATTCTCCTAACCTTTGTTCTGGGTCTTGCGTTCAACCATCTTTGGTTCTTGGCCTCAGGAAGGCTCCTGTGCTGAAGTTCTGGCTAGAGTGGAGAAATTGGTTCCTTCCTCACATTCTGCCTCATTATTTCATCTTAGTGACAATTAAAGGCTCAGTATCTGCTCTGGCTCTTAAAACTTACATCGTTTTGGTGCAAACCTATTCTTGAGCTATTGGGTCCCACCTTTGTCTTTCTGATAAAGCCTCTCCCTGCGCCACCGGGATGTGTCTCCTACTCCTGTCCCCACTGGCACACACTTCCTGTGACCTCATTTTTCTGAAACAAATCAAAACACTTCTGAGTGTTTCAAAAGAAGTTGTGTTATATCAGCAATTTTCAACCTTTTTTATCTCATGGCACACATAAACTAATTACTAAAATTCTGCGGCACACCCAAAAACATTTGTGCTGATCTGACAAAAAAATAGGTATAATTTTACTTTACTCAAACAGATGGCTATTTTTGTGTTGGCTGTTGTCAGTTTTTTATTTGACAATCTAAGGGAAAAGAGGCCAGTGCCCTTGATTAAATAGTCAGGTATTGCATGTTTTAAAAATTCTTGCGGCACAGCGGTTGAAAATTGCTGTGTTATGTAATCAGGTCTCCTTTGTTTTAAAATTCTCAGGAATTTACAAAGTACTCTTGATATGCCCATATGGTCAGGGCATGCCCTGTGGGGTCCAGGTCTCCCATCTTTGCTGGAAAGTGCTTCTCTGCACCTTTGCACATGTGCCTCCCCCAGGAACACCCTCACCCCCAGCACCAGGTGGCTCTCGTCCTTCCCCACCCCTCGGCCAGCCTCCCAGTGGAGCAGAACTGCTCTGGGAGCCTCCTGCTTTCCCTCCACTTTGTGGAAATTCGCAGTCATTCTTTTTCTGCACATCATGACTTCCTTGAAGTCAAGGCCGAGCCCTGTCCATCTTCGTGTGGCCAGGCACCCAGCCCAGGCCCTGTGTGAGGCAGGTTCACCATAAATATCTCTCAAGTTAATCAGTTGCTCCTGGTTAGAAATAAGAAGTTTCCCAAATGGAGGGTTGCTTTTTAAGAAACAGATAAATAGTTGTTTTTAAGTGGAAGTAACCCTCCAGATCACCCTATGATTCAGCAGTGTGGTCCAGGGCTGGCCTGCCCGAGCTGTCAGAGTCAAGCTCTCAAGTTTTATTCAACATCAAGTTTATAATCAGATTAACTTCTGAAGCAAGCTGGCCCATCTTTAAAACTTTGTTTTGCGAAAATCATAGCTAAAAAGTTGGAGTTTGGGTTTTTAGGTTTATACTCATGCTTACACAATAAACGTACAGGGCTTTTCCTGTCCTTTTTTCTGTAAGTCTCTGAGCTCCCCAGTACTGGTTTGGAAATCCCAGAAGTTATAATTTTTCCAGCAGAACTGTCAAAGATTCTCTTTGAACTCTGATGCTTTTTTGTTATATAAATTACTGATGTTAATGAATGCCAAAAATTATATTCATGTATTCAGTACATTTATGAAGACCCTGCTCTGTGCCTGGAACCATGGAGGTGTTGGGGATACAAGGGGGGAAATGAGCAAGAAGTAGACAGCCAGGTAGGGTGCAGGCAGTAGACAGAACATTGTGGTGAGATTTATGCCCAGAGATGCCAGACAAACATATATGGGGTACCTGAGACAGTGCACAGGTCATAGGGGTGGTCAGGATGCTGCAAGCCAGGCCCTGCTGCCTTCCTGTGCGTGTGTCCCTCTCTGAGCCAAGGTGTGGGTCTGAGCTCCCCCATGGCTCTGTGGTGAGACCAGGAGGTGGGAGACAGAACTGGCACAGTTGTCTGCATACAGGGGAGCTGGGCAGGGCAGAGCTGGCACACTCATGCTGTCACCTGGGGCTATGAACCCAGACCGTCACCTTCAGCTGGCCTGTGCATCGTCCAAGGGGGCTCTGGGAAAACAACCACTAGCACCGCCAGGCCGGCGCCCTTGGGAGGAAACGGCACGTGCACCGTGCGCGCTCCAGCGTGCACAGTTCCNATTCTGGGAAAACAACCCCTAGCACCGCCAGGCCGGCGCCCTTGGGAGGAAACGGCACGTGCACCGTGCGCGCTCCAGCATGCACAGTTCCACCAGAGCTCCCGGCCACGTTGCGAGTGCTACAAAAGCCAGTTGGTGGCAGAGGTTCTATTCATCTCCAAGTGTCTGGACACCTGGTTGAGACTCAGCACTAATGTAAGGCCCTGTAATTCAGGGCTATTTTTAGCCACCATGTGTACTGTCTCATAAGCTGAGCTTTCCTTAATTTGGGGTGCTCTTTTTTTGTTTTTTGGATGCCTTCAGCTTGGCTTGGAATAGAAGACATTAGAGGAACCGAAGTCCAGTGTTCCTAAAATCAGACTTGCTGTGTCTCCATCAAGAAAAGAGCCTTCATCAGCTCTAATGGGGCATTGGGGGTGATGGATGTCCTTGCCTGTCACAGATCATGATCTTAGCTGGTGGACACAGGCAGAAACAAGACTCAAAGCTGAGAGTTCAAACATCGCTGTTTGTCTAACAGTTGGTTCAAAGTTTGGATTGTCCTGGGTTTGATATGTCTTTGATAAAATACCTAAGTATATCTTCTGGGATTTTATTTCAGATTTTAACCCACTTCTATGTATGTGTGTGTAGGTGTGTGTGTGTGTGTGTTAGCATTGGGAGGTTTTGTAATAGAGTGTACACATTTATGTTTNCTATTTCAAATTTTAACCCACTTCTATGTAAGTATGTGTGTGTGTATGTGTGTTAGCATTGGGAGGTTTTGTAATAGAGTGTACACATTTATGTTTAGAGCTAGCCTAATTCAAGCTAAACTTGTATCCTAGAGCACGACACTGAAGGAAATTGCAGTTAAGGTCATTTTCGTCTGTGTGGGGAGAACTCTGGTTTTTGCTTGTAAAGCTGTTGTCATCTGTGTGTGAAGAAAGGATCTGAGGGAACAAGGATTTTTTAGGTCATTTGGTAAATACGCCATATGTGGCAAAACAACATTATATTAAACAATGCTACTAAATTCCTACTGTCTGCCAGCTACTGGAGGTCTAGCACAGGGTGGTGAGTGCCCAGGGGAGGTGAGGACCTGAGCAGAGGCGCTGCTGGTTCACAGCTTTCCCGAGAAAGAGCAGCAGGGCAGGTGTCCTAATGTCGAGGGTATTCAGTGGAATGATTGTCCTTCATTCAAAGACTATGCCCTTCCTACTCATTTTTCATTAAAATGTCCTTTCCTTAATGATGTTTCCAACAGTCTCAACCATACTTACCAGGGGGCTGGTCTTAGACGCCCCCATGCTGAAGGCTCACACCCAGACCTCCACGGGAACAGCCCTGGAGCTGGAGGCCTCTGCTCACAGGCAGCTTCTCTGATTCAGACGCTGGGTGTTTCATCTCCTGACACTGAGATCCAAGCTTTCACATTTTTATTTGTTACACAAACTTGTGTTTGTTGTTTGGCTACTATGAGACAAATGTCATTGGTCAGGCTTCCGCTGCTCCATTTGAAATTAAACATCTAACATCAGGCCAGATAAATGTGGCTTAGAGCAGAAGTTAAGGCAGTTGCTTGAACTTGGGGAGGATTTGAAACGGCGTTCCCCAAAGCACCAGGATTCCACAGAATTTCTACATCTTTTGGCTTTAGCTCTGCTGCCTCTTCATTTTGTAAGTCTTGAAGAATATTAATTCAGAAGCCAGTTAACTCCTCTTTTTCTATCCCCAGATTACATGTGTATAGTCATCACATTATATATGTTCAAGGTCAGCCCTTGAAAATAAATGATATTGCTTTCATATGACATAGAGAACTATTATAATCATCTCATTACTTGATTAATAAGCTACAAAAGATGTTATTTTATAGACTTCATCCCAAATCCTCCATCCAGTTAACTTTGTTTTTATTTTGTTATTGTCTCCAGCTTTTTAGTACATATGGTTGTCTCCAACCCAAAGAAGATTTAATTTATTGTTTATATTCAAAACATGTGTTTGTGTATGTCATTAAGCCTTCTCGCTTGGCTAGGATCTTACAACTACTCTCTTTATAGTATAAAGATTAAATAGCTTTAAAGAAATGGAAACACTAAAGCAGAGAAAAGGGGGAGAATGGACTATGTTTTACGTTGACAGTCACCTCCAGGCTCAGCAAGGTCAGTGTCTCTCCTCCTGGGACAGAGTGAGCTCTGCTGCAGGTGGGTTTTCTTGCGCCTGTGTTGAGTTCATCTAAGTGAAATCGCTGAAGATGGACAAAGGCACAGTTTTATCCTGTAAATTCAGACTCGAACTTACAGAGCACATGTGCCATGAGATATAAATTGGAGCAGCAAAAACGATATTGAAATTTAGAAAAGCATAACTCATTGTCACCTCTAGAAAGAGACTTCAGTAAGGACATTTTCCTTAAAGAGTGGTGGCCAATTTCACCAATGATGACAACAGATTTACACAGTCCTCTTGTGGATAAGTGACCCAGAATCTGCTCTCGGGTTTCCAACCCTCCACGTGGTTCTCTGAGTTGTTTTCTTTCCGCTTAAAGGAGTTGAACTTTGTGAGCGTTGGCCCAAGACAACAGGAGCAGGCACAAAGGAGAGATCATTGCTTACTGGGGTACTTACTTCAGTTCCCTCCTGAGCTGGTACTGAGCAATCAGGTCTCCCCCACTGCACTGTGCACTCCCCACAGGTTTGCGTCCAAGCATAGAGTGTGATGGTGAGACACAGGGCACAGGGCCGAGTGACCCCGTATCCTCCTCAAAATAACCCCACCCAGGCCAGCTGTGGGTCCAGCCGGTGAACGTGGGTGACTGTGCACACCACAGCCGGCAGATGGCCCCTCGTGACAGCTCACCTCCGTGTCCACACAGCTATAAACACGTAGCAAGCACCTGCTGAGGTGCTTTGACCAAAGACACATGGTCCCTGTCTTCCAGGGCTATGGCCGTGGTGCACAGACATGTTGGAGGACCTGCAGGGAGAGTGTGTCTAGAGGGCTGCAGGCAGGAAGGGTATGTGCCTCACACCAACCCAGAGGCAGCGGATGACTGAAGTCTTAGCGCTGCCTTCGAGGTTCCTAGAAGACAATAGAGGTGTCCCTGATGGGGGACTCAGCTCCACGCCCTTCAGGGCTCACTTCTGAGTCTTGCTGAGACCAGCATGGATATTAGAGTGGAACCCAGGAATGACTTTTGAGCCAAGGTACTGGGGTACATTGGTTTCTCTTCTTCCATTCCTTGCTGCCGTATGTTTCAGGCCTTAGGGCTGTGCCATTCTTTTCTACATATTGTATTTTAGGTACATTTAGCTTAGTGTCTGGACATTGAACTCACTTACTTCAGAATTTCTTGTTTTAGTAATGGGGTCTCCCTGGATCTCAGCATCTGGAAGTAATCTGGCGTCTAGAATAGCCGCTTACTATTTATCTGTCATCGCCACGTTTCTGAGTGCTTCGCGTGAGCACTGTGCTAAATTCCACATTCGCATTGGGTCACGAAACCCTCCAGGGTGTGCAGTAAGAAGGCACTTTGTTATCACTACTTCAAAGATGGGGAACTGAGGCACAGGGAGGTTAACTAACTTGCCCTAGGTCACGTACCCTGTAAGCAAAGCTGGTAACTGAACATACTCACATAATTGTATCTAAGAGTGTGTGTATGCACAGTTATTGTTATATATCTTTTAGGTAGTGTGTGTGTGTGTGTGTGTGTATATATATACATACAAACACACACACACACATATATATGTGTGTGTCTGTATGGCTTTGTTTCCATTTGACCAGTGTCTTAGTTCCCTGGGGCTGTCATCTGGAAGTTCCAGACTAGATGGTTTAAACAACAGAAATTTACTACCTCACAGTCTGGAGGCCAGAAGTCAAGATCAAGGTGTCTGCAGGGCTGGTTCCCCTTGTGGCCGTGAGGGAGAATCTGGTCCATGTTGTCACCCAGCTTCTGGGGTAGCTGATGATCTTTGGCAATCCTTGGCTTTGCAGACGCATCACTCATCTCTGCCTTCATCTTCACATGGCATTCTCCTTGCCTGTGCGTGTCTGTGGCCAAATTTCCCATTTTTATGAGGACACCAGTCATTGGGTTAGAGGCCCACCCTAATATGGTATTTTAGCTTAATTGCCCCTGCAAAGACCCAATCTCCAAATAAGGTCACATTCTGAGGCACTGAGGGTTTAGACTTCAACATCTGAACTTCAGAGGACACAGTATGTCTGTAACAGGTGTGACAAGCTTTTGACTTTCTCATTTATAAGTAGCATAACAGTTGCATCAAGCAGTGTGACTTTTTCCCTTTTCTTTTAAGAGGTGGTGATGCCTCTAACAGAGTCTGGTGTCTATAACATTTTTTATTGTAGTATGATCGTGCAGTTAGCTCCAGGTGGGTGGGAACCCAAAGCTTAGCTACAGCTGTGCACAGAGGATGCCACAGCTCTTCTGTTCTCTTGCAGGCATCCTTCCCAGCAAACCTCCAGCTTGTCCTTGTTCTGCGCCCAACAGGATTTTTCCAAAGGACTCTCTCTGACCTCGCTTTCAAATTCAACAGAGATGACTTTAAGATGAAGGTTCCGGTATGTATAACTGGCTTTAGCTCCGTAGGCAGAACTAAATGTAATTGCATTCTTGTCCCATCTATGATAATCGAACTTCTCAAGGTGCTAACCTCAGTGCTGTGAGCATAAATAAAACCCCAGACGACTCAGTCGGAAACTGTACTTCCTCTTGCTCAGCCAGGAGCGGTAGGATCCTTCATTCCCACCTGCCACTCCACACCCCCGAGCTGACTGTGCAAAGCATGGCCTTGGATGGACCACCTTAAAAGTACAGTCATTTCACCAGAGCCACGAGTCTAGAACATTCTTACAGCAAGTCAAGCTGAAGAACAAGAGAGCCCAACGGACCAAGGGCCATCACCCACTTCCTAGAGAGGAAAGGCCAGGCTCTGCTGGGGACAAGAGGAGTGAGGGATGTGGGTGGGAGCATCCCCCAGGCCTGTAGAGGGTGGGGGGCAGTAGGCCTGGGCCCCACAGGCCCATCCCTACCTCATCTCCTCTCCCCAGCCTGGATCAGCAAATTAGTGAGTTGTCAAAAACGGGTTTTACAAAAGTCATCACTGACACCTTCAATTCACTGACTCATTACAGACCATTCTTTAGAACTACAGAAAGCATCACCTGAGTGCTGTTGTTAAATGTTGTTAAAAATTTGTTCGTGCCAGTGTTTTGGTGCTGTGTGCTGAACTCAGTGCGGGATAGAACATGTGAAGAAAAACAGTGGGTCCCTATGCTTTTTCTGTTGTGGTCAAATATGTATGAAGCATAGATTAGATGTTAATTGAGGTACAGAAATCACGAAGGAAGGTGGCTTAAATTCTTAGGTTGCCCAATCAACTAGTCTTTGGTCATGCTGGTCGTGAATCAGTGTTATTTGGCTGCATATAGTTTTATTAGAGGAACAAAGAGAGAATGGAGTCATCCCTTCTAAGAAATGTTTTCTACTTTAAATTGACATTTTTGCCTATGTTTTTAAATAAAGATCATGCTTCAGTTAAAAGGTCTCAACATCAGCACTGTTGGGCAGGATTATTCTTTGTGGTGGGGCTGCCCTATGAGTGAACTTAGCAGCACCCCTACCTGCCACCCACCAAATGCCAGCACCACCACCCCCAACACTGAGACAATCAAAAATGTCCCCAGATATTGTCAACTGTCTCCTGAGGGACAGAATTGCCCTGGGGGAGAAACTCTGCTTTAAGCTAATACAGTATTTAATAATACATGAGGTGGTTTCAAATAACATTTGGGCTAAACCTCTCAAGACCTATTTTGTAGTATCTATGTGACAGCTTACAAAGCAAAGGCTATATTTTTATCCAAAACTCATGGACAGAATGACCTCAGAAAGGGCAAGAAAAACATAAAAAAATAATAATAATAAAAGACTTGTCCTGTGTGGAAGAACTTGCTCGGTCACTGCGACTGTGTACTCACCTGTCAAGGCAGTTGTGCCGGTAAAGGGCACTGTAGTGGTTCTGACTAGTACCTGCAGTGACCTCATAGTATTTCAGCAGAAGTAAAGACAAAATTATCTTCTTTCGAGTCTGAGCACCGTCTGATTGCCATCCTGAGCCCACCTGGCCAGAGGAGCATCTAAACGCTTTTCAGATGCCTAGTGTCCATTGCAAGCCCAGCTACATAGGGGTTTTGTATCCTTCGGTGGCTGTCATCTGATGAGATTAGTCATCCTATACCCATTTCATGAATGAGGAAGCTGAGACACAGAGAGAACAAGCGACTTGCCTGAAGTCAACCAGCCAGTTAGTGGTGGAGCTGGGATTTAAACCCGGGTCCAAAGCCAGTGACTTCTGTGCCCACTGCCACACCTAGCACAGCAGCAGAACATTTCTGGACTCTGCCTGCTGGGCGTTCTGTTTATGGGGGCAGTTTTCTTTCTCCCCTAGGTCATAATGCTGAGCTCAGTACCAGAATTACACAGTTACATCGACAAGTCCCAGTTGACCGAGGACCTGGGTGGGACCCTGGATTACTGCCACACCAGGTGGTTGTGTCACCGCACGGTGAGTCTTCCCTGCACTCTCTGGCGAGTGCTGGCTACAGGCTGTGCTTCTCAACAATCCCTAGTTAACTCCCTGGAATTGCTTTTGCATTTCGATGCTGCCTCTTCCAAAGACATGTTCATGTTAAAACCCAAGTTTTCTCCCCAAGAATGAGGAGATGGTCTCAGTGGACCTTAGTCATCCAAAGAAAGAACATGAGTAATAAGTTCGGGAGTGGCTTTCTCTGGGCTCAGAGACAGAAAAGAAAAAAAGAAAAGCCCCATATTGTTGTAGTTTGCGGCACTCACACCTCTCTCAACAAGGAGAGAGACCTCGAGCGTAGAATGACTCTAGGTGATGAGAGCATATGTAAAGAGTGTCTGGTATGTGTCTGAAGAAGTTGTGAGGCTGAGAAACCAGTGGGAAGGTATTTACTTTATGCAGACCGGGCTTGCTGTGGCTCTGTCCCCTCTGAAGATGCCCTGGCCGGTCCTCCGTGATGCTCTGCAGGCAACAGGAGGCTGAGGTGCGTGCCAAGCTTTGTGACGGTGTCCTCCCTCTTCCCAAGGCCATCGAGAGTTTTGCCCTCATGGTCAAGCAGACGGCCCAGATGCTGCAGTCCTTCGGGACCGAGCTGGCTGAAACGGAACTGCCCAATGACGTGCAGTCCACGAGCTCAGTGCTGTGCGCGCACACGGAGAAGAAAGACAAAGCGAAGGTACGCGTGGCTTCTGCGGGAGGGGAGGTGACGGGGGGCCCTTCTGTCCGAGTACGAGGTGGTGGAGTAGATGTGGAGCTGATGCCAGCATTAGGTGAGACAGAACTGAAGGGGTTTCAAAGGTGCCTTTTGATGCTTATGAGCTGGGCAACCTCTGTGATCAGAACTGAAACATGCTCCTTTTAAAAAGTAGCTTAACCAAGTGCTACAAATGCAGAGACCCCCGTGGTTTGCCTGAGTAACTTGTGAAATCTGACCAAGCAAGTCATCGGAGGCGGCTTCTCTCTGAACCAGCTCCCGAGCTGTCTTACAGCAGGGCCCTCCAACTAGGAGTTTCTGATGCCCATTAGTAAACCAAGACAGGAATTCTGCCCCCGGGGTCCCATCGAGGGCAGGTAGAGAAGTGTGGGCTGACTCAGGCGGGCTGAAATTCATAAAGTAGCCACGGTACTCACGTGGTTACCATCAGTTCCTGGAGAAGTGCTCTGAGGGAGAACTGCTCCCTGAGTCTGTTGCACCCCCTGCCCAACCTACACATTGCAGGCTTTGAGTCAGCAGTGACCACGACCCACTGCTGGTTCCTCGGGGGGCTGCCCCACCCACACCAAGAGACCCCTTGCTGCCTTTCACTTCTGGCAGTGAGGATGGCTGTGGAAGCAGGCACCTAGAGGTCTGGTGTCCCGTTACTCTCCTACCTTATCCTGCTGCCCCTGAGTGACCTGTAACCCTAGCTCTGCCCTGGTCACAGCAGGAGGAGTCTCCCCGACACCCGCCTGCTTTCCCCCGCGAGTGAGCGGTCAGCACGGAGGAGAGGGTAGGGAGTCTTCACTGTGGCTGGTGCTGTGCCCACCTTGCTCATTGTGACCTCCCCGCTCCCCTCGCAGGCGGGGATGCCCCACAAAGGCCACCACTCTCTCCAACCTGGACAGAGTCCCGGGGAGTGGGTGGGCCTGGGGTCCAAGGTGCTGCGCTCTTCCCACAGGAGGACATGAGGTTGGCGCTGGATGAGGGGCAGAGCATCCTGGAGAGCATCAGGGAGCCTCTGGCCAAGAGCCCGGAGCAGAGCCTAAACCAGGACCAGCTGGACAATCAGACCACCGTGCAGAGGTGAGGACCTCGGGCTGCGCAGGCCTTTCAGGTGCACAGCCTCTGCAGAAATGAGGGTCTGTAGGCTGAGGACAGAGGGACAGACAGACAGGAGGAGAGGCCCTACCCCATGCTGCCTGGGCACCTCTTGTTTCCTCATCTCAAAGGGAAGCAAGGGGACCTCAGAGTCCTTACCGCTGAAATGCTTTGCTTCCCAATCCCAAAGAAAGCAGCTTTTCTGGCGAGAACATTTCTTAGCGCAGTTGCTCTTTTTCATAAGTGTGGAGGGGTAGTTTCAGCAAGAACAGTGGTGACAGCTCTCAGGCTTGTAGGTCTGCACTCAGTCGCTTTCCCGACCCATTTCACACCTGGTCTCGAGGCTCCGCTTGTTTACAGGTGGGCCTCGCTCAGCTCCAGCCTGTTTTAGAAGCATGTCTTCTCTTTCACTGGAAAGGGGGTAATTTGTACTTTCCTCCCTTGGTTTCTAGCTGTATAACAGAACACAGGGTAAAGGGTCCACATGGTTAACTGCCATTAGCTAACATCTTGTGATGCTCGCAATGTCCACACACCACACACCTTCCCCATTCTGTGCTCTTTACCTCGAGAGCACAGGTTGGGGACAGGTGCAGAGCAGCTGGATGGCCTTCCCGGAGGCTCCCAGCCCATCACAGACAAACCCAGGCCTGGACCCTGGCTGATTTTTTCCAGCTCTTAACCTGTGTTCCCTCCTCTCTGCCAAAGTTTACCCACTGAGCAGGTGTTCTGTGCCAGGGACGCAGAGTAGACCCCGGGGCACAAGAGAGCCCTGTGTAGATGTCGTGAACAGAGGAGGTTGGAGCACACTGTCAACTACCCCCAGACTCAGTTCCCTCAGCTACACAGTGGGGCTAGCCTGAGCACACCAGCTGGGGCGGGAGGAGGGGCGGTGATAAAACTGGTTCATGCTTGTCCAGATCAGTGTCTGAGAGGTTCTCAGATTTGGGGATCATGACAGTAAATGGTGGCAGCAGTCCCTCACTCACACATGCATTGTGGCAGCTTACTGCTTCCTTTACCCAGAATCAAAGTGATACATAATAAACCCAAACCTTTACCATCTTGACCTTGTAAAAATTAACAAACTCAGCTCAGCCAGCTGCCCCCCCTCTCAAGTCAGTGGGCCCTAAAGAAACGCCCACCTGCAAATCCTGCACTTCAGTGCCCAGGATGAGAGGAGGTGAGGGTCATAAGACTGCTTGGAGACTGAGCCCCGCACCCCTGCTTCACATTGCAGCTTGGGGCTACTCTTCCCAAGCCCCATGGGTTGCTCCAACACACAACACTAGTGCCTCTCTTCTTTCCTAGGCTCCTGGCCCAGCTGAATGAAACTGAGGCTGCCTTTGATGAGTTCTGGGCAAAGCATCAGCAAAAACTCGAACAGTGTCTGCAACTCCGGCATTTTGAGCAGGATTTCCGAGAGGTGAGTGGCCCAGAGCAAGGAGAGACCCTGTAGGTAGGCACCTGGCATTCTGGCTTCAGGAAGCTAGTAAGTGGCCCGGATCACCTGGGCTGAGGTACCCAGTTGACTATGGCTCAATGCAGAATAGTCTCCATTAGCCATATGGAGCGACAAGATCATGTTGGACTAAACCTTGAAATATGTGATTGATGAGTAAATCATTATATGCAAAGCTTATGCAAAATCTATTCATTGACATACACTTGCTTCCACATTATTTGTCAACTAGTCAAGCAACCTTTGTCCTCCCTGTATGGTCACTTGTATGTTCTTTTCTCCAACATGTACCTACTGGGTGTCTGGTATGGGCCCTGGGTGTACACATATAGGAGAGACAGTCCCGCCTTGGATTCCGTGTGACAGGGCTATAGTAGAAGTGATGCGCAGGCATTGTGTTAGGTCGCTAGGGGTGGCCAACTCATCAGAAGCCTACTAACCACTCATTTGTGCAGAATACATACACTGAGACTTCCCTGTGGTCTAGTCCTGGTGCAACGTAGGAATATAAAATGGTACAGCCATCTGAAACAACGTAGACCTAGGGCAACATCTTTCCTGTCCTCAGGAAACCTCTGGTCAAGGAGGAATCATAAATACACAGGAAATAGGTAACCACATCAAGTCCAGTGATCAAGCTGTTGAAGGCAGTGTCTAAATGTCAGGTGAGGAAGACCAGCGAACAACTCTGCGGAGGCCATCCTCCAGGCCTAGTACTCCTCAAAGAGTCATGAACATCACCATTTGGAAAATGTGGGATCTAGTTCAGCAGCCTTCACTGAGCACTGTTCAGGTGGGGCACATGCTTGAACTGGGACAGCAAGGTGAAGCAGTCTTGCTGACTCAGACCAGAGAAGTACCGCCAGCCAGTGAACAGCGCCCATGAAGCACCTGGAGAAGATGGTCATTCCTTACTTATTTCTGTGGGGACTGAGGAAGGCTCTTCAGACAGCCAAACTTTTAATTTGGGAATAATTGTAGATTCACAAGCAGTTATAAGAAATAATTCAGAAAGATCCCATGTACCCTTCACTCAGTTTCCCTAAATGGTGACATCTTCCCAAACTTAAACCCAGGATCGTAGTCAGGATACTGGCCCTGACACACTCAACACACAGAACATTCCATCCCCGCAAGGATCCCCCACATTTCCCCCTTATAGACACACCCCCTCCCTCCCACTTCTAACCCCTCCTGAACCTCTGGCAGCCACTAATCTCCATTTCCATATGTTGTTATTTCAGAGATGTTCTATAAATGGGAATCATACAATACATAATCTTTTGGGATTGGCTCTTTTCACTCAGCATGGTTCTCTGGAGATTCTTCCAGGTTGTTCTGTATAATAAGTTTGTTCCTTTTTACTGCTAAGAGGTCAGTATTCCATGGCAGGGACATGCCACAGTTGAACCAGTCACCCACTGGAAGCACGTGGACTGTTTCCAGGCTTTTGCTCTCACGAATAAAGCTGTTATAAACATTCATGTGCAGATTTTTGTATGGACATAAGTTGTCACGTCTCTGAGATAAATGCTCAGGAGTGCAATTGCTGGGTCATATGGTAATTGCATGTTTAGCTTTTTAAGAAAATGCCAAATTGTTTCCAGATGGCTCTACCATTTTACAGCCCCATCAGCAACGTATGAGTGGTCGTTTCTCCACATCCTCTGCATGTAGTGTGGTATTATTTTTAATTGTATGCACATGTTTTAGTGGATGTGTTGTGCTATCTCATTGTGGTTCCATTTTGTATTTTCCTAATGGTTGGTGACCTTGAGAATCTTTCCATGCACTTATTTATCATCAGCATACCCTCTTCTGTGAAATGTCTCTATTTTTATATCCCACTTTCTAACTGGATTATTTTTGTTAGTTATTGACTGTTGCATTTTGAGAGTTCTTTATGTGCTTTAGATACTAGTCCTTTGTCAGATGTGTGGTGTGAAATTATTTTCTTCCAGCTTGTCACTTTTCTCTGTATCCTCTTAACAGGGTTTTTATATTTTCTTAGATTTTTTAAGTCAAGGTTGTGTACCTTTCAGCATGCCCATTCAGTACATTTTGTTTGACTTACACTTACATATTTTATTTTCAAAGCAATTATAAATAGTATTGTATTTTTAGTTGTGGTGTCTGTGTATTCATTGCTATGTATAGAAATACAATTGATTTTTGTATATTTATCTTGTCTTCTGAAACCTTGCTGAGCACACGCATTCTAGGAGTTGCTTTGTCATCTTTGGGATTTTCTACATAGGTGATCAGGCCATGTGCAAACAGGGACAGCTTGATTTCTTCTTTTGCCATCTGTTTGCCGTTTGCTTGTTTGTTTATAGTTTAAAATTTTTTTGTGTGCCTTATTGCACTGGCTAGAGCTGCCACCACTTAAAATAGTTGTGAGTGGACACCCTTGCCTTGTTCCCAATCTTAGGGGGAAAGCATTGTTTTCATCAACATTATGTGTATAATGTTTTCTAGGATTTTTATAGATGCTCTTTATCAAATTGAGGATGTTTCCCTCTAGTTCTGTTTTTTTCCGGGGATATCTCGGTTTTCCCTCTTGCTCCCTTCACTCCTGCTTTCAGTCATGTCTCCATGTCCTTTCCCTTCAGCTGTGGTTGTTCTGACGTGGGCCTGGGTCTCTCGCTTCCCTTCTCTGTTTCAGGCCAAAGCCGCCTTAGACGTGTTGGCTCAGAAAATAGCGACCTTCACGGACGTGGGCAACAGCCTGGCACACGTGGAGCACCTCCTGAAGGACCTTATCAGCTTCGAGGAGAAGTCCAGCGTAAGGACTGGGACATGGACTGGGACGTGGGCAGGAGACAGCCTGGCGAAGTGGTTCTCTCAGTGTCACCAGAGTTGCTTAGAAAGGCCCAGGAATTGGGCTTTCCTGCCGTCAGAGTGGAAGCCCCCAGCCTCAGTAATGTCGGCAGGTGGAGGGACAGCTGCCTGGCCTGCCCACCCCTGAGCCTTACTCCC